TCCATCACATGAATAAGACCTTTATAAAGCTCGCAGGTGCTGTTGCGCATTTTCGTTCATGTAATAAATAAGGCAGCAAGCCAGGAAGGCCAAACTTTTATATATGCCTTTAATGGTTTTAGGGAGGATGTAGGGTGTGGGGGAACGAGGGGAAGAAGAGAGCGATACAAGCTTAACACCATAGCATTGTTTTCAGAGATGTGTTTGTTAAAAAGCACACTGAGGTATACGTACACACAGAGCAAATGAAATCAAGGCAGGTGGGGTTTTTCCCAGCATTTGATGTGCCAGGTGAGAGCTGACACTATGCACAGAACAAAAGCGCACAGAAGGAGCGATCGCACAAGCTATTGCGAACCAGAGCTCCCACAGCTGGATCAGAATAAAAGCTTGACTGAATTATAGAAAAATATGTTAAATCAATACAAAGCATAGACAGCACCATTAAATCTTTATTTGGAGACAGCTTAAACAAGAGCCCCGTATTCTTTTAAAAGGGGGATGATGGGGAAGAAAATAACCCAAGAGCTCAGAACCACATCTCCTTTTCCTACCACCCCTTTCAAAGTATATGTATTGCTTCTGAAAGGTCTCAGTACTGTAGGATATGACTAAAAGTGTCCCGATACTCCTGCAATGGCATCCAGCTGAAGGAGGAGTCCAGAGAGGTGCAGGTGCCAGGGCTGTGAGAGCCAGCAAGGCCATGGGCACAGGAGGCCTCGGAGGTCCAGCTGCAGGTCTGCAGAGGTTCCTCTGGACACTTGCATGAGCGAGGAAGTGCCAAGTGTATCAGTGAACCTCAGGCCACAGCCTCCCCCTTGTGCCTCTGTGGGTTCTGACCACCTCAGCTCTTTGGGGTGGCTCCCTCCATCTGCAAGGAGCTGGAGAGCTCCGTGGTGTCAGTCATTCCACGTGAGGGCCATGCAACATGAGGAGAAGCTACCATTTCTCTAACGGTACAAAATAGGGACAGACATCTAATACGAGAGATTGCTTTTCAAAAATGGTCCAGGCTGGACACAAAGTCAAGACGAAGGCTGCACACTCCTCACAGCTCAAGCCCTTCATGCAGGAGACCACATGGATACCAAACTCACAAGGTGCTCGGCTCAGATCTTATGATGCAGGAAAGGTGAGTACAAACCCAGCCTGCTTTCAGACAGCAACAAGGCATGTGGCACTACCAAAACTTCCTCCTTGTTTGCAGAGCAATTGAAATGAGGTTCCTGGAATTTATTATAGACACTTCATTTTGTTATCGATACACAGGAAATGCTGCAGCTACGGGCTGTGGAAAAGAGATAGGTTCGTGGTACTCATTTGTCATGCGCGCACATATCACATACACTGTAATGTACAAGAGCACTGCTCAGAAAACCCAAAACCTGAAGTCCACCCTTTGCTCTGACACAGAAATGTGCAACAGGCGCAAATCACCTCTCAGTGTCCAGAAACTCTCACCTTTACATGGGGAAAACACTACCAGGATCTTGCAAGAGTCCTCAATTCTTTTATTGAACAGTTGACCTGTTAAAGCAAACAGTGCTGGAGAAGCCAATATAAGAAGCGCAGTTCTGTGCAGAAGTTGTGTTGGAGCAACTCCTCCTCCACGCAGGAGAGCCTAGTGACCACACTTGCTAACCTAAACACAACAGTGAGTTCAGTTTCCAGCACCAACAGCTTGGAACCACTGCAGATGAAACCGCTCAAGCCTCTTGTACACTTCCTCTGTGGATACTCCTCTTAAGCACTTACCATTTTGTCCCAGACATCCCTTATAAAGCCCTCTGGTAGGACAAGACAGATTACAAGCCCAAATCAAAGCCTATTCAAAATTCAACATAGATAGAATGACATGTTTGGATTTGGACCTGTTGAAAGGTGATTTATTTCTGACAAGGATGATTTTTTTTGGAAGGACCATATGGGAGGGAGTTAATAAAGGTATTTAATATACAGGCTTGCCATCTTTCATAACCAAATCCAGAACAACACTGCAACCAGCAAGCACAGATCAAGCACACCTTGGGTAACAGCAGCAGCATTTGACATTGCGTTAGAACTCCGGCTTTTGAAAGCAAAAGGTTGGGTTTGGATTAGCTTCACTAGCAAAATAAAAGTACAGTGGGAACCCTATTTACTTTTTGGCTACAAGAATTGACTTCAGCGCCCACCCCCGTTGTCAGCACTTGCTAGCAAGTGCTATCCTCATCCACTAAAGCAGACCCCTTCTAAGCTGTGTATCTCGGAAGGTGTCACTCAGGAATGTCGAGGGTACAGATGGATTGCTTCCCTGTTTATTCTTTTATTAGGAATTTGTTTCAGCGAGCGCTTCTATCATAACATAGTCTGATTTATGCATACCTTGCTGCAGGGAAGATGAATGCACTAAACTTTCCACAGAACAAGATGACCTCATGTTTAAGCAAAAAAAAAAAAAAATTTATAAGGGACAAGACTTTGCCCTCAATAGCAAGCTACAACCCAGAACCTATCTCAGCCAGTGACTCAGTACATTACAATCCAATGATGAATTCCCCTTCCAAAGCCTTTAATTTCAAAAACCACCTTTATGGTTTACATATTCCCTGGGAGTAAGCCAGTTTCTCTCTTTGGGGCACAGGCAATCTTCATTCCAACAGGATCAAGGTGGCAATTACACTTCGTTAAGAAGTGGGATAGAAAGAGAATGCAACGATTTCTTGTTTACTTTTATGGGAGCATCAAGCAGAGGCTTCTGCCCTTTTTTTGTAGCGGTCAAATTTTAGGGAAGGAGATTTAGGAGAGGAATCTGTGCAGAACTGTTAGATCCAACTTTGTGAGGGGCTCCCGGAGCTTCTTTGGAGACAAGAGCTCTCTAGTCAGTAGGCTCGCAGCTAAAGACTGTGGTGGAAACACCTACATCAGCTCCACTAAGGGAGAGAGGGAATTCTTTCCTACACCCCTCAGCATTACATGCAGAGATAGATAAAGGTTTGCCCCTTGATGTTGAGCAGAAGTCAGACAAAACTGTACCGTGTCATCTGGCTGTCTGGACTATGCTGTACATGTGGCGTCTGCTTGATCTTCTCAGGTCGAAGAAATGCTGGAGATAAAGCACGAGCAAATAAAAATAGTTTGAAGAAGAATGGTGGTGATAATGCCCATAGTACCTTGGTGCTTCATGCTTTTAAACATTCTTAAAAAGCTGCTCATACCGTGCAGTGGAAATCAGGAACACTTTCTGCTTACAAAAATAACACACTCCATTTTATAATCCCAAATTCTATTAGGTGAGATATTGGCATATAACACACATACACACATCCAAGTGGCTTTTTGATTGGTACCAGACCCTGATCCCAAGGACTCCGATTGCCCTCTTGCTCCCTTTGCAGCCCAGCGACTGAAAAGGAGGGTCACAACGGGGAACAACCATCACAATTATCTGTAGCCAAGACAACTGTAAGGTCTGAGAGTTCAGATTTCAGAAGGGAAAATGAGAAGTACATGACCTGCAAAACTCTCAAGCAGTCCTATTTCTACCTTAAAGAGTATAGCAGAATGCAGGCTGAGTGGAGACACCTGAAAACTGCCAAGAGGTGCAGCTGGACCCACCTTTCAGGAAAATCAAGAGTTGTGTTGCATCATGCACAAAATAATGTCTTGCCTGCAAAGCCTCCAACGCTGTGAAGCAATAGACAGGGGGGAAAACAAACCATCTAGCAACTTCCAATGGAGAAAAATATTGAATTACTCTTGTGAAAGTCTCCGAACACCAAGAGAACTCAGGTGGGTCAACAGCAATAAAAAATAAATACGTGAGAGACAGGGTCGTATGAATCCCTGTGATGACGTGCTTCTCTAAAAATATCCACGGGCACTTATTTTGCCCCTGAACCCAACGAGCTGCAGAGGACTGCGTTACCCCCGCACAGTTGCACTGCAGGTTGATGAGGGATGCAGGCCCGATTCACACCTCACCTAAAGCAGCAGAGCTCCTGGAGTCACTGCAGTTATTCTGATCAGCCCCAGCAGAGGACCCAGACACAGATTTTGGGAGATAGGCAGCTCACGAGCAGCCTGAGCAGCTTCATTAAAGCTCATAGTGTCTCCCAACCACAAGTTTCTCATGTGCTTCATCATTAAAAAAAACTGTCAGGGGAAGGGGAGAAGGTTACAATATCAAGGAGCCCTGAGGACCTGAAGTACATTTAAAGAGAACAAGTTAGGAGTAAATCAGTGGGCATTTAAAGATTTTTTTGTTTCTTTGTTTTTTGTTTTGTTTCTTTTTCCTGCTCATCCTATTTCATGGATCAGGATTGCTAGCAGGTTAAGAAGCAGGTTATGAAGAGGCCCACTGAAATCACCCTCTTTCCTCTTGTCTACATCAGAGAGCACCCTGGTTTGTTTATTTTTTCCTGTGGTAACACAGGTCAAAGTATTAAAAAGTCTGAGAATCACTGACCTCTTTCCTGCAGTCTTTGGGCTCACACATATGACAAGACTGGGCAGAAAAGACTAAGTTCAAAGCAGCCTGGACCTCTAGGGACACTTTGAAGTACTTCAGCATAATCTGAATTCATAAGGACCCCTTTAATGTCTAAGTAAACTAACAAGCACTTTTGGAACAGTGTAATGTCCCCTAAGGAAAAAGAGCTGTACAGTAATAATCACTGAATTACCCAAATAGTCTTAAAAAATAGCCTTATTAAAAAAAGAGAAAAAAGTAAAAAATCCTATTAGAATTGCTTCATTCTTTTGGTAAAGGTAATTGCTTTTTCTTAAGAAAAAAAAAAGAGGAAAAAAAAACGGAATAAAAGGGAAAACAGCAGCCTACATCAAGCCTTCCAGAGTTACTCTAAAAGTGTCATTCCTGATAATTGGTAGCAAAAGAATTGGCAGTGAAGTTAACCATTTGTGGCTGGACTGTGTACTCACACCTACAAATGTATATTAAAAAAAAAAAAAAAAAACACACACACAGAGGACTCCCCTGTATCTCCAGAACAGCATAGGTTTCTGCAACCAATTGAACCACAAAACACTGCAATCGGGAACAGTGCTTCTCCCTCAAAACAAACTCCAATTATTTTGTATGTAATTATAGTTGCCAGGAAAAAAAAAAGGGCAACTTATCGCTTACATGGAACTATATTCCTTGAAAGACAGATTGTTTTGGGTAAGAAATTTAAATCAGATCATCTGGTGCTACCATAGGAACATTAGTCTACATCCTCTATACTATTCCCATTTCAAAAGGGATCTATTGACTTGACAACATGTGGTCAGGAAGCAAAATTTTCCCTCTTATTATGTCCAGGTAGAAAGCATAGAGGTTTTTTTTTTTTTTTTTCCCCTCCATTTTCTTCTACAAGTGTTGATCCACTTAGGACAAGGCACAGTAGTCACACATCACAGGCTGTTTTGGGGACACTGGTGGGACAATTGCATACTGTCTCTCTCTTGCCCATTCCAGTACTTAACCCAGATTGGATGGATGTCAGTACGGCAGAGGCTCCGTCCTGGACAGTGGCCAAGAAGTATTAGCTGGTAACAAACACAGCAGCACTGAATGAACATGGCAGCACAGTCCTCTGCTTTAGCCAGGAGCATCTTCAGAGCACAAGGGCCCCTCTACCTTGTGCCATGTAAGATGTGACACAGGGCAGAGAGGACTCTGACTACTTCCACACAGGGCTAAAGACCATCTCCTCCTGGAGCAGGAGCTCCAACCCAGCCTTCTGGCCAGGGAAGAAGTAGAAATTATAACAGAGAGACCACCTGCGACTAGGTCATACAAAACGAGGGGATGAAAGCAATGCCCTGATTCCCTACGTGGTGGAGCCCAGGAAAAGCTGTACGAGCACAGCATGGAGCGCAGTCTTAGTGACTGCAGACACTGCAGTTCTGCTACTTTTTCCCCCTCCAAGGAACACCAGGGCTTCCACTTCTCCAGCTGAAGGCAGACTAAATACAGCAAAAGGAGTTAGTGGTAATGGCCAGGATCAGGTTCCCATTTAAAGTGGCCTCTAGAGAAGCACGAGTGTTTAACATCAGTGACCAAAGCAGCTGTGGAACTAATTACAACACTTTGCCCAATATTTCATCAAGGACACTACAGCCCCTGTATCCATATGCCATTAATGGAAGGCAAAAGGAGAAGTCAACAACCGGCACTTGAGGAGATTAATATCTGAATTGGGGGGCAGAGGGGGCTGCTGCCTCCTGGTAAATTCAAGGAGGGAGGGGCTTGTAACGCAAGAAATGATCTGAGGGAGAGAGATGAAAACCAGAGATGGTGGCTAAATAAGTAGAAAGATTTCTAAGTGTGCTGGGCTGGGCTGTTTGCACAGTAGCAGCCCTCGCTGTGCGCGAGCTGTTCCAAAGCGGAGCGCGCAAGCTCTGCCAGATGTCCCATCCATCCCGTGCCTTGCATGGGAGCAACAATGTCATGAATCCACAAGAGTTGTGCAAGTCGCACTAAGTATCAGCGCTGGAATCGTGCCCGGACTAAGCCCTGGTCATTCATAAATATGGACAGAACCCAAGGTCTTGCTTATAAACACTCTTACACACAGTTATGCAAGTGACTGAATAATTCAGGCTTTCTTCCCAGATAGAGCATAATATTGAACTGTGTACGAACACAGCTCTGCTCTGGCACAGTCTGACCTCTGAGTACATCTGCCCTTCTCTCCAGCAAAGCTTGTAAACCGGAGAACAGCAAAGCCGACGGAAAACCTCGCAAAGCCGCAGCCATCTCATGGCAGCATCCCCTCCTCCTGAGCAGCCCCCATCTCCTGCCAGGCTCCTCTTGTCCGTTTTGCACTGTAAGAGCAGGATCCCAAGAATAGAGAACCTGTACCAGCTGTCCCGCGGGGGACACGTGCCCAGCGGCAGGCGCTGCAGCAAGGCTGTGTCGGGGTGTTGGGGCCTTCCCACACCTGTGTGCAGCTTAACACAGCGCATAAGGCCAGCCCCACACGCGGCGGTCACCGCGCAAAAGTGAATTACGTTCCCAGGCGCCGTCCCGACCCTTCTGCTCCACTTCAACACCACAAATGCACTTCCTCACAGGGTTGCCGTAGTAGCCAGATAGCTAGAAATTGGAGAAGGCTTTAAATTTAACAACTGAGTTCTCCCCTCTTGAGTAAAGCGCAAACTACGACCATCGCTCCCGCTTGTTACCAGACACCGTCTCCTGAAGCAGCTTTTTCCACGGTGACTTGCTAATGCACCTTCATATTGACTGACTTTCTGCCTCCGTCCTCCCATTCATCCCTTGCCCAGGCCATTTCTGAAATCCGTTTCCTCTCCTTGTACGTGGCCATGATACCGTGCATTACAGACAAAGGTGCCGCGCTCCATGAATGCTCCCATTGACTCCGGGGAGAGCTCTCGCCGGCACAAAGAGCCGCACGCTGAATAGCATCAGGACCCAACTCCAATTTCCTGAGTTTCACAAATTGAAGGTGCTGGCTGATTTAACACGTCCCGAGCCACATGTGAAAATGCTCCGGCCACACTTTTCCTGCTCGGCGGGTGTGTGTGTTTCCACTTTGCATACAAGCAACAGGGCAAAGAAATACAAACGACTCATCCCTTTGCAAGGTGACTTTAGGGTCCTCTTCGAACTCGACCATTTCAGAACTTCATTTTAGGAGTAGCCCATTATCTACACACATCATATCAGAAGAGCAGACAACAACAGCTTTTTGCAGGTTTGGTTATTTGATCCCTGCAGCAACATGCTGCCAACACAGTTTTATAGCACTCTGTGGAGTTTTCTAGCAACATTTCTTCCATCTCTACAGCACACGATGCAATTGCAGCACGTCCCCTTGTACGGCTATAAGCAATCCCTGTCTTTAGAGCCAATTCACTGCTGCACGATATTAAACACAAAAGTTACCTTTCCATACTATGTTATATGAAAAGGAAGAATACATCTAGCTATTTAAGCTTCTGTATAATACTTTTAACGTAGAAATGAAAGTGCACACTTGGAAAGCCTTTTTCTTTCATTCTAGATAATTATTTCACACAAAGCTAGCTAGCAAACAGAAATCCTTCTGCACTCACTCCTTACACAAATTCTGACATAATTCCACATTAGAAGTTAATCTGAATGAAAGCACAGACTGGTATTTTGCAGCTGAATCCTCACAGATATCCACCATAAAAAAAAGGAAAGAAAGAAATCATAATTTTTTCATATTTGTTGTCTCATGAGGAATTTGTACTACATTTGCCAGGTTTTGATTTGGTGCTTGGTAGGTGACCACAGCAAGGGAAAAAAAAAAAAAAGAAGAAGAAAGAGCATTCAAGAGCATTCCGACTACTTAATTTTGTCATAAAACATCTTCACTGAGAGGCTCCTAGACAAAAATAAAACCACCTCAGAGTGATCACTTTTTCTGCAGCGACAGAGCATTTTGTGACAGCAGGGAAGACCTTCCCACTGCTGGTGCTCCCAGGCCTTTGTGCACCCTGCAAGCTCCTCACAGCGCCTAGGAGTGCACTCCTCCTCACCTTCCACACATGCACCAGGCAAATATTACAGACAATCCGCTAGAGAAAAGATTTTTTTTTCAAAACAAAGAAAAAATATACAAATATAAAAAACCCACCTAAATTTCTTTCTTTCTTTTTTTAACTTCTGTGTAGATGAATGTTTAAAGTACTCTGTATCTTCCCTAAAAGAAAACCATGTCCCTACTAACCACAAGACCTACTTTGAGGACCAGACCTTATCACTGAGGCCCCCTCCTGAAAGAGGCAATGAGCTCAACCAGCCTGCAAAGCCCACACAGGTCAGTGACCATCATCTTTTTAGCTCCTGCTCAGCACCCGGCACCGTGGGACTGGATTCCTGTGCTCCACACCAGCCTCCGCTGAAGTGCGCCTGTCAGGGGAGAAATCCAGAGATTATTTTGGCTCGGCTTTGGAGGCGTTTGCAGTGCCTCTCTGGACACGCTTGGTGCTCCTGGTGCCAGTGCACGTGGCGCATCGCGTCCAAGCTGCCCGGCTGCACGCACTGGCTCCAGGCTGCCTTCCTGCTTGTTTTTAAATGCACCTACTCTCACCCCCGCGGGCAGCCCCGCGCCTCAGCCCAGCTCCTGCAGGGAAGCAGGAGGCCCCAGACCAAGAGTTAAAAAGCTGCACGGGGAAGCTGGACCGAGCCTGCGAAAACATTTTGATAAGCGCGTGTGCGACTGGAGAGGCAAGAGCACACAACAGCCAGGAGTCCACGTGCTCTGCCCGGGGCTAGGCATAAACCCTGCGTCCAGCTCCCCTGCTCTAAGTGATTCCAGGTCACATCGATACATCAGGAAACTTTACCATTTGCTCATGGTGTTTAAACATGGGGCAGGAAGCAGCTGGACTCTCGGGCATGATCTCATATAGATCCAGGTAGATATTTCCATGGTAGCTTTTTGCAGATTTAATTTCTGCTCCATGCCTGTGTTTTCCTGCCTGGGGAAGGAAATGCCCTGTGGACTCTGGCACAGGCAGTGGAGAGTTGATGGCAGAGTTATCTCCAGAGGGGACTGCTGTGCTGTTGTGGGGATGTGGAAAACCAGACAGCCACCCAATAGCATTAGCAATGCAAAGATTGAAGAATGGTAAAACCACAGACTTGTCCCCAAGCAGAGGCCCCTTCACAAGCAGTTTCACACAGCAGTCGTGCCCAGTGCAGACACAGGTCCTGTACTGGAGGTGGCACCTTGCCCATGGGTGCTCACCACGTACCTGGGCTGTGTCACACAGGCAGGAAGGAGAAGGTGGTACCCAGGAGTCAGCATCAGGCACGAGAACAGGAGACTGGAGCGTTTCCACCAGAAGGCCGTAAGCCTGGCAGGCCCCTGCAGTCAGGCAGGGCCCACACGTCAGAGCTACCTGAACCCGCCCGGCCCTCAGGAGGAGCTTTGACCTAGGACGAGTCCTTGGGCACAGCTGCCAGCATGGCCAACAGCAGTAACCCCACCACCATGCACACATACATACGCACATCCCTGCTTCTGGAAGACCATGGAGATTAACTCTCACTCCCTGTCCCTTTCAGAAGGATTTTGTCCATCTCCTGCACTGCCCTAGGTCAGATGAGGGTCTCTTTAGGGACTATCCTGCAGACTCTATGCAGTCTCTTTTCTCTAGTTAGACGAACATCGAAAGGGGGCTCCAGGCAGCAGATAAGGTTGGTCAGGTGGGCAAGGGTTCATTTTTATAACTTGACAACAGAATAATTAAAGTAAATGTCATAAAATTTAGCCCAACGCCTACTTGCATGCTAACACGCTATCCACGAAGCAGCTGTGTTTTCACACAGTTAGATCAAAGAGGCTGCAGAACAAGAAGGTCATCGTTTGGTTACAGTATCTAAACAACTAAATCAGTGGATACCACTGGGCCTGTCACTCGATCTCATTACCCTGACCCCACCAACTCTGGAATTCGGTGACCTTTCCAGATCAATATTTCAGAAATGACCGAAGTTTCAGGGCATGCTGAAATTCTCTCAGAGTTGGCTAAATAATCGTATCAAAAGTCCAGGATGGGAGAAAACTTGTCAACTTTCCACTTAGGAAGCGTTTCCCAAGTTCCAAGCCCTGGAATACAGTAAAACCTGGGAGGAAGGAGGTGAGGGGCAGCAGGCATTTTCCTTTGTAATTTACATTTGCACATTTTTTTGATTATAACATTTTGCAGATCTTAAACAGTTTTTCTTTTAATCAGATTGCTATTGCAGTCCTTGTTACATTTCTCCAGCTCATAGAAAGCTATGTCCAAAGAAAGCATCAAAAAACCCATAGGAAGTTTTACTCCCCACACTTCATCTTTTTTTACCTCTGTAAACAGCAAAGTCAAACTCCTCTGCTATCAGCTTTTAATTACATGTCATCATATTTCCTTTTGCCAACTTGCATCATAATACTATTTATGCAAGGAGGAGGAAACAGGTCTCATTTCACAGCCAATACACTGATAGTACTTTGTTTTCTAGGCACCTGACACCTGTTTGTCTCCTTCCAGCTCTCCAGAAAAGCCTGAACTGGCCACGTGGATTCAATTAACTTGAGTTTCAATGCATGTTTTTTTTTTATTATTTTGTTTTTCACATTAAAAATAGTCTGCTTTTAAAATCTTGGCTAAGGCTTCTTCTTTAAAGTTTTATTAGTTCTGCCTCACAAGGATAAACCTGGCAAAAAAAAACCTCACAGCATTATCATCAGCCCCTTATTATTTGAATTTTTCAGAAAGCATCAATTTTATCAGCCACATGTTTGCATAAAGAATGAGAGAGTTTGTGCACGGATGAAGGGATCCAACTAGAACTTATTTCTAGGTTTCTGGTTGCTCAGTAGAATGGAAAACAAACCCAAAGTCCCCAAACCTACAAGCAAGGAGACTCCCCATGCTCAGGACTTAAATAACAAAACTGGGAACAAATAAATAAAGTTTAATCTTAACACTTACGATTTTCAAGCCAATTTCATAATATTTTGGAGCTTGGCTAATGAAGCCTAAGCATTCAAAATTCTGCAATTTTGTATTCTGCCCGTGACAAGGGAATACAAGTGCTAAGAGGCTTTCCTAACCTTGTGGAAAGATAACAGTCACACCTAACACTAACACTGTATAAACTGCCATCCTGGAGAGAGGGCCAGATGGTTGTCGCTGCTAGCAAAGACCTCAAAAGTGAGGACCTGAACCACGGGAAAGCCTCTCATTCTCCAAGAGTTGTGTTTTCTGCCAGGACTCCAAGCGACACCCCACACCTCTGTCCCTAGCATTTGTGCACGCTGAACTGCTGGGACGAGGCTTCTTTAGGAGGTTTGGCTGTCACTGGAGCATTCTGTGGAAGGGCAGCGACATTCCTACAGCAAAACAAGCTTTCCAAGCCTACCTGCGATGCTGGGATATACGAACCCCCAAATTGATCAAATGCTGGTAAACCATCTGGACTAATGCTAATGTGACTCATCTTCTTTGAGATAAAATGCATAAGGTTAATTTATTTTGCCCTATTTCAGAACTCATACTTCAATTCTGAGGAACTCCAAGGAATTCAGTAGTGTTGTTGTTGCTTTGTAGCAAGGTAATAAAGATCATAATCAAGCCTTCTATGCTCTTAAGATATTTCTTAACTTGGTTTTGTTAGGAAATGTATATTCCTCATCTCAAAGGCATGCATAGTTAGATAGAGCATTGCAAAAAGATTATTTTGACCGATTTGACCAACTCTACTTTAACTAAGGCCTTTGAGTACACTTACAGAACAAACATCAGCAACAAAATGCACTTCATATATAAAAACCAATTTTAAAAC